GGGCGACGGAGGCTGTGGCGGCGGCGGCGGCGGCGGAATCAGGCGCTGCCCTCGGGGAGCAGCAGCGGGGTCGGCGGCCGCTCGCAGCGCTGCGGAAAGGCCGGCCGGGCGCGGCGCGGAGCAGCTGCGCCACGGTGAGTGCGGGCGGCGGCGTTCGCTGTTGCTTCGGTGCCTCTTCCCCCCGCTCCGCAGCCGGAGTGGGCCCCGGGGGGTACCGGACCCAGTTTGCCAAAGGTCTGCGGGCCGGCTCCGGGGTTCGGGTCGGAGCGGCGAGGCTCGGGACGAGGAGCGAAATCCCTGGGGCTATGGGCTCCACGTTTCCCCTTTTGGGGCGCTTCCTTCCTGGGGACCTCCTCCTCCAACTCCGGGCTCTGGGCAGTGCCCAGGACCCCGGGGGAAGAGGACCGGGCTTCTTAATTAAGTCTCATGGCTTCGTCGGGAGGGTTTGCGCAGAAGGGGCCCGGGGGAAGCCCGAGAGGCTCAGGGTTTCTGTGAGTCAGTCTGACTTAGCCCGGGAGGCGGGGGATTCGGTGCAGGCTGCAGATGTGGTGATTGACGTGCCTCCGACCTGCACGGTAACACGTCGCCAGCTCTTGGCGTTTGGGGGCCGAATTTTGTGCGGGAATGCGCCTTGACTTAGGACGTTTGCTACTAGAGGCAGTATACAGATGGCTTTATTCTTAAACTGCTTAAAAAATAGTTGTCAGGAAAAATAAGCAGCAGCAGGTTGGAATGCCCCGAGGAAAGATTTCGGCGAGAGGGAACACTGGTAATTTTCGTTTGCAAGCCTCTCCATATACATGTATTTAAGCCTGATGAGTTACGGCTTGTTTAGAAAGTTATTCTAGGCTGGCTTCAGATGCTATAAAAGTGCACTTTGCAGCGGCGCTCAAGTTGACCCGAGGTCTTTTGGTGCTGTTGACTCAAGTGAAATAGACACATGAGAAGAGTTAGCGTTAGTCTGTTTCGGCTTTCTTACTCTTCTTTCACTTTTGTACTTCTCCAGTTTTATTGACTTCCCTCTATCTACTTCTCTGCATTCCACAGGGGACACGAAATGCTTACTGTGTAATGCAAGTCATTTGCCCCCTCCCCCCCCCTTTTATCTCGAATCTAGTTCCCCTTCCTCCTTGCTGTCCCCTCTCTGGCATAATTTTTCGAGGTTTCTGCCCTTGGATGCTGTTCGTTTTCTCCATCATTTCGAGATTCCACGTTTTTTTTTTTTTTTTTTTTTTCCCCTGGAAGATACTCTCTTCCCTGCTTTCATTCCCTACTTTTAAGCGTCCACTGTGTTCCTTCAGTCAGCCAGAAGGGTTGCTAGAGAGCTATGTGGGACTTGACTTCTCCCCCTGGGAACTGGGAGGCTTGAAGGATTGAATTCATCCGTAAGTAATCACTACTGCCACTAGGTCACAAGTGTAGTTTGCTTGTATTATTTGTGTTTTAGTTTTTTTTCTTCACTTTAAGATTATGCTTTTGTGCCTGCTTATGTTTTTCTTCTTGTATCTCTTTTATATTAGTAATAAAGATTGGGTCAGTTCGGGGCTTATGACTTTTTGAGTTTTAGTGAGGGTTGTTAATGTTAAATGAAAACCAACTGTAGACTACATTAAAATAGAATTAAGATAGCCTGAAAAATTTAAGAGAATAGAATTTATTTAGACCACTGATGAATTAAAGCCTGCCCTTTGTAATAGTACTAATTTACTTTTTATCAGGCTTTTTGTTTAAAAATCAGGGATCTTTTTCTACATCTGTTATAATTGGCCTTAGTTATTTTCGACAGCAATACCTTTATTTGACCCTTCCCATGTTCAAAATTTTCCTAATTCCAAGATACAAAAAGAGAAGTTAATTCTTATAGTCCGCTTTCTTTGATACTAAATGCAAGCATTGGGCTGGCCAGCTAGTTCAGTTGGTTAGAGTGCAGCTTTGTAACACCAAGGTGATGGGTTCAGATCCCCAAACTGGCCAACCGCCCAAAATAAAATAAACGTAAGCACTTAAATGCTTCAGGCAGCTTATTTCCTTAGCAAGTTATTCAGATTTGAGAGGATTGCTCGGTTTACCACTTGTTAATGGTATTTAGAGATTTTTCTCAGTAATTCCTGTTATGTCGCATGTTGTGCAGCAACAGTTCTAATTGTTAGAGCAGAAAAGTAATAGAATTTGGGGAAATGAAGTAATAAAGAATAAAGTGCCACCATGCTCTCCTTAGAGAAATTAATAGTTGTCTGCTTAATGCAGAACTCTCTGCCGTTACCGAATGGCCTTTGAGAATTGTTTTTTTTATTTGTTAAAGTTGGCCTTTTCCCAGTTGTGCCAAGTAAATATGCATTATTTCCATTTTATGCAAAGACATTGAAGTGTATTATCTAGAATGTAAATTTTAAAATCTGGTTAAGGCACCTTGATAGTTTAGCAGTGATTCTTAAAATTTAGTATGCATAAGAATCACCTGGTAGTCTTTTTAAAATTAGGTTCTGGCAGAACTCCAGGAGGCACCCCACAGTAAATCAGTCTCTGACTGGGGTGATTTTGATGCACATGGTCCAATGACCAAAATTGTTACAGAGGGCAGCCATAAAATAATGATACATGTGGCTGTAAGTTACTCAAAATGACACTTTCTGTATATAGGAAGTAAATATTTAGAATAGCCTAGTAAGTGACTGTAGGCATGATTAGTTCTTATACTCGTATGTGTAAATTTTTGAGTGTTATTAGGACTGTTAGGACTGTGATGTGGAGTGATTTAACTTTAAGTTTATACTTAATAGGGCTGTTAATTTGCCTACGTATATATGTAGATGGAAGTTGTAGATTTACTGTCAGAACACATAGAGCGATATTTGAAAAGAGACTCTGCCAAGCCCTTTACAAGCATTATCTCTTTTAATCATCAGAATTACTTTATAAGGTAGATGCTGTTATTATCCCCATTTTCCAGTTTAGGGATACTAGGGATTACAGAATATGTTACTTCTCCAGTGTCACCAAGTTAGTAAGTGGTAAAGCAACGATTGAATCCACATCTAACCCCAGAGCATCTCATCAGTAAGCTTTTGGGTTTGTGTTCTTCCTAACTACAAAAGTAATATGTGCTTATACAAAATTAAAACAATGAAAATACAATTGAGATGTATTGTGCAGGACGTAAAAGTATTCTGTCATCTCACTCCCAAAGATAACCAGTTAGCCATCTGGACTTTTTTTTTTGTGCATACTGATATATTATTTTGCTTTACAAAAATGAGATAAAGTATAATTTTTCTGCAGTTTAAAAAAATTTGATAACTTATCTTTGTACTTCTATAGAAAGATATTCCATGTATAATCTCGTGGATATTAATCAGGTATAAATATTTTTTGCACATTGAGTATTGTGTCATTATTTCAGTGAGATAAATCTGGGACATGCATTTGCTTTATTATTAAGGATATGTATTTAAAAATTGTCAGTAGATATTAACAAATCACACTGTCCAAAACATTGAGCTAATTAGTTAATTCCCTGCTAGAATGTGGGCTCTGTGATGGTTTTATTGTTATATTCCAGGACAAAGCCACATTGTCTGGCAGATAGTAACTGCTCAAAATGTTGAATGAATGAACATCAGATAGTGTGTTTACCCAATGTATTGCTGAGATTGGATATTATAAATCTTTTAAAAATTTGCCAATTAGTATGTGAAAGAAATCTTATAGTTTTGGGCTGGCCGATGGCTCACTTGGGAGAGTGCGGTGCTGATAACACCGAGGCCATGGGTTCGGATCCTATATAGGGATGGCCAGTTCGCTCACTGGCTGAGCATGGTGCTGACAACACCAAGCCAAGGGTTAATATCCCATTACCAGTCATCTTTAAAAAAAAAAAAAAAAGAAAAGAAATCTTATAGTTTTAATTTGCATTTCTTAATATGTCTTAAGTAGGATAACATCTTTAACTTTTTCGAGTGACTATTACCAGGATCTGTCTAAAGCACTTCACGTATATAATCTATATTATCTAATTTAATGCTTAATTAAACTTAAAATTCAATTAATTGACTCTTATAAGATAAATATTATTCCACTATACAGATGAGAAAATTTGGGATTATTTAAAAGGCCTGCCACAAATTATAGCTGTGAGCATCAGGGTTATTACCTGAACCCAAGACAGCCTGCCGCTACAGACCTTGCAGACTCTTAACACTAAGCTGTGCTGGCCCAGTAAGTGTCATGTATTTTATTTCCTGTGAATTTTGAGAAGAAGGCAATTAAATGGAAGAAAATAAAATCTTACACATACCTTTAGGATACTGAGTTTTCTGATAGAGTACAATGCATATTGCTTGAAATGAACAATTAAAGCTATACCTTTCTTAAAATTCTGTGCTAGTGATGGGCTTCAGAAATGTAGGCTGATAACAGTTTAGAGAGATTCGCATTAGACTTCAGTGTTAAGTGTGTTCCCATCCAATTTTCTTGGGAAGTGAACAGCAACCTCTACTCTGTTAAAATCATTATACACCATATCTACTTTCAGATTTCTTCCTTTTGGTAATTAGTGTTGTGTATGTGATAGAATTTTTTCTATCTTTAATGAAACACATCCTTTTGAATTCCTTTAGCCCATGTGCTCTTTTCTGTGGATAGCCTAATAAAGTGACCTCTTCAAGTTTTCTGTATGAGATGCTAATTTTTATTTGGGACAGCCACGGAAGTATTGATTTAATTTTCTATCAAACCATATCTCACAAAGCAATAGTTATTTGAAACATGATTTTCAAATGTGTCTTTCTCTCAGGAGCCTGTGGCAGATGAGTTGAGCAACAGCAAGAAAGCAGGTGTCGAGAACTGTCTTGGTTTTTATGCTTCAGCTATTCAATTATGTGCATGGATTAGGATGATAAAAATAAAAAACAGTATTTGTGAAGAATATTTAAAGATACACAAAAATAAATATTCAGAGAGTAATTTTTAAATTTTTTTGTGTTTGCTAGAACTTTTTCTTTATTTTCCTTTGTTATAGCCAGAGTCCAATAGAATATCTTAGGTTTGACCTGAAAGTATACACATTGGTTTGGTGTATTAGTTACTTGCAGCAGAATGTTTGGCTTTCAGAATTTGACTGAAGGACTTTATATTACCAAGTGATTTCTTTCCTCCTGATAATACTCATCTTAGTCTAATCTTAATATTTCCAGCTGGTTTTCTGCTTACTCCATTTGCAGCTACGCTTGATTAACGCCCCATTTGTTAACTTTAGAACAAAAGAATAATAATCACTGGAGCCCCTCAAATAAGCTGCTAGGTGGTAATAACACAAACGGTGTCACTATAAATAATCTGTCCCCATTCTTCCAATGCCAGTGTTGTTTTCTGCTTTTGTTTAGTATGTATGGAAACAGTGACTGAACAAACAAGAATGGGGCTTTATTTTCCCTTAGTTACGCAGAGGTTTAGGTTGTGTCCCATATTGGTGGCTGGAGACTCTTACTGAAACAAGGATTGTACTGCCCCCAGTTCACCATCACCAGACACACTCATGCATCAGTTTAGTACTCTTCTTTCCTGAGAAAAGAAGCTATGCTCAGGGTACCTACGAGAGACTTCTGTTTGACCTTCTGGCACCATCCTCTGTACTTTCTTTCCCCAGAGATACTTGCTCAGATTCTGAAAAAGGGATTTCTTTCAAGTGTAGATTAGGACTTCAGCTCTGCTTCTTAGGCCATTTAGAAATAGTGTAGAGGATATTTCTGGAATGTTGAACCTTGGTCATGTATTCCAAGGCCTAGTGGGGATCCCAAAGTCATGGGGATCTTCAGGGAAAAGGGAGCTTTATGCAAGAGCATCATCTCCACCAGCAAAAAGCTTTGAACTGGATCTCCTTTCTCTGGTTACCTGAGCTTGATGAGGATCATGCAGTTTGGAAGGAGAAAGCTACCAGGTGCTCACAGTAGTAAGTGGAATGAAAAAGCATTTCCTAAGTTCACTTTTCTCCTGCTTTCCTGGGAGCAGGACTGGATCTCCTTTCTCTGGTTACCTGAGCTTGATGAGGATCATGCAGTTTGGAAGGAGAAAGCTACCAGGTGCTCACGGTAGTAAGTGGAATGAAAAAGCATTTCCTAAGTTCACTTTTCTCCTGCTTTCCTGGGAGCAGAACAATATTTAGTTTCGAGAAAAGAGTAAAACAGCTTGAGACCAAAGCCTGAATTGCTTCCTTTTGACTAAGGAGTAAGGGAGCAAGCATTCTTAGGAAACCACACAGGTTGGCAGGGAGGAGGGAGGGAGATGGGCCTATTTAACAGAGAAGAGTCAGGTGCCACCCCCAGAATGAGGTCCTTCTTTCAGTGGACTGCATTTGGTGCCCAGAGAAGAGAGTATAAGGGGTGAGGGAGGAAAGGCGGAGACTAAACAGACTCCAGCCGGTTCCTGCACACCGCGCACACCCAGCGGGAAGGAAGAGGAAGTGTATTCTGGAATAGCTCAAGCAGCTACCACCATTGGCCGGTGGGCCTGTCAGTCGCCTGGGGCTGAGGCTGACAAGAGGAAGAAGGAGAAGCAGGGCTGTTGCCTGGAAGGGAGGGAGGGCTGAGCCAGGGGGCGTGGGGGCTGGGACAGCAGGCCGATTGGCAGGGCGGGGCTGCCTTCGATCCTGGCCACTTCTCTTAATCATCCCTCTTCTGATTCAGGGTGGCATTGTGTGTCCTAGAGTGCAGGAGCGAGTCCCAGAAGAGAGGCGAGGCTGAGCCCAGAGCACTGGGTTGCTTCAGCAGGGAAGACTCCCTTCCCTCCTGCTTCAGGCTGCTGAGCACTGAGCAGCGCTCAGAATGGAAGCCATCGCCAAATATGACTTCAAAGCTACTGCAGACGATGAGCTGAGCTTCAAAAGGGGGGACATCCTCAAGGTAAGTGTTGATGCCGACACACTGCTGAGCTCGCCTCTCCTCGTGCTCACCTCCCTTTCACCCTGATAACACACAAAGAAGCTGGCTCTTTTCTCATTGCACACTTTCAGTTAACACTTACCATCGCCTTTGATCTGGATAGCTTGAGATAGGTGCTGAGCAGAATATTAAATATGACCTAAGAGAGTTGATGTGATGTGTGGTCTTTAACTGCCTTTGTGTGAATGCCTAGAGTATTTCTGTCTGTTGATACTGGTAATATTTCAAGTAAAGTCAAAGTAACGCGATCATAGAAAGGGAGTATATGGGTAGATTGATGTAGAGTTTTAGAAAAATAGAGGATTTTCTTAAAGACCTGAACTTGAAGCATTTATGTAAAAACATTCATTTAGCCTTATCTTACATAGCCAAAGGTTTTGCATTCTGGAATGTGATCTTGGTAGGTTAGAAATTAATTTTCCCAGTTTCAAGAGGTTGTTAGCAGTGTATGCCAAAACTCTTGAAAGAACCTCAGTGTATTTTTATTCTTTGGAAAAAACTAATGGAGTTCTAAATAATAAGGTTCAACTTGCTGTTGTACAAGTCAGACTTTGATTTTCTTAGAAGAAACTCGACAAGCAATTACCCCATATTAAACTCGTGATTGCTCAAAAGAAACCTGCTGACAGTTTAAAAATAAGCTACTTTACAGTTTGGAGCTTATTTTGAGCCCCACTATTTACATGAGGATTTGCTCTCCACCTGGCACATGTTAATTATGTTGTTTACCCAATTGACTGTAGCAGTTTGCCCTTTTGGATATGTAATTTATTTTTACAAGGGTGGGTGTTATCGAAGAGTGTGTCAGCTTCATAGGAGGAAAAGCTGAAGTTTAATGTTTGAGTGTTCACTGTCTCAAGTTTTGACAGTTTTTTCTTCTGAGCCTTGGTCCAGTTGTTGGGATTTTGCCAACCATTTGTTTACTACCCCTGAGTGGAATTTTTAGAATTTTATAAAGAGGAAAAAAGTGGAAATTTAGAAATATGGTCCTTATAGAAGGACTTGAACAGCGCTTAAGGCTTTTCTCTTTAAGTTACGTGCATCTATTGTTATTTACTCTTACCCTTATTCTCCAAGGTGTAGAGTTCTACTCTGAAATTAACTGCACAGTAATTTCTTAATGATAGCAATGGAAGTTGAACGTCATGGAAGGTGATACTGAAGAGCTCTTTAAGGAGAAGAAACTTTGTGATCTTTTCAAAGCTGTTTTTGTGACACCAAGCTTTTTGAACGTATTCTAAAAGTCAGAACTAAATTGTCAGAAAGCAGACAGAACTGTGTATAGGTTTTAGAAAGTGTATGTCTTCTGTTTCTATTTTCTTAGAGAGGTAGAAATCAGAGCAAAGTTAACAGACTACAAAATTACTCTATTCGATTGGTGTACAGAGGAGATAATTTGATGTTTTGGTAGGTGATTACTGTTTTCAACAGATAACCAACTTGTGATATCATAATAAGACTGGCTACCAAAGTACCCACATTTATAACCTGTACCAAAACCCTTTGGACTAGGTTTTTGTTGTTTTAAATACAAACTTAGATTTCTCCATTAAGCTTACCCTAGAAACTTGAACCTTGAAGGCTGGTAGTTAATACTTTTCTCTAAGTCTCTTCCATTGAATATTTAGCACTAATGCAACAAATTAAAACAAAACTGGGGATTTGCCATCTCTTTAAGAATTTTTGGATAAGAAATTTCCCTGATTTCTGTCACTGAAGTTTGTCCTAGACCGTGAACATCTTATTAATTCTTCAGCTTAAACTGGTAAACTCTTGAACGAGTGTAAAACCCTTCTTTTCCATCCCATAATTGGGGGAGATGATACTGCTTAATATTTCCCCAGAAATTTTTATGGTGGGGGAGCAAGTGAATCAGAGTGCTCACATTTACTTTCACATTTTCTTTGGGGGGAGAGAAAAATTAGTATATTTGGTAGATAACTGGGATATGAAGTCATAATGCCATTATTGCTTTTGCACAGTGGCCATTAGCTTTTTGTTAGTAATCCTGTGGCTTTATTCCAAAAAAAATAAATAAATAAAGAATGACGACACAGTAGTTGCCCTTTGTCTCATAACTGAAACAGCTGAGTGAAGAGGAGGGACATGCTCTTTAAAAAGCTGTTAGCGGGCCGGCCCCTTGGCGCACTCGGGAGAGTGCGGCGCTGGGAGTGCGGCGACGCTCCCGCTGCGGGTTCGGATCCTATATAGAACTGGCCGGTGCGCTCCCTGGCTGAGTGCGGTGCTGGCGACCCCACACCAAGGGTTGTGATCCCCTTACCGGTCACGAAAAAGACAAAAAAATAAAAATTAAAATTAAAAAAAATAATAAAAAACTGTTAGCTAAAAAACAGAGTTTTCCTCTTTGGCAGCTGGACAGTACAGGGATCGAACCCTGGACCTTGGTGTTACGAGCACCGTGCTTTAACCAACTGAGTTAACAGGCCAGTCCCTCGTTTCATTTTTTTTTTTTTTAAGGAATAAACTGGCTTTGTTTCATGACTCCTAGCGTTGTTAGTTGTGAGCCAAAGCCTGTTTAGAAGTGGCTGAATAGCATTGACCAGTTTAGCTTTGATTGAAATAGGGATATGTTTGCCCTCTCTTGATAAAGGAGACATGCATGTGGGTATCGAATACATTTCATTTAAATGTAATGCAATAGAAAGGGACTTAGCCCTTTACCTCTGACTAGAGTTCAGAAAGATTATGTCCTCACACTGTTTTAGAGTTTCTGGTTAACTTTTAGTTAATGTTGACTCCTCCAACAGACCTCTTCCTTGCTTTTTATCTACATTTTAACCTGTTAATGCCTTGAGAAAAGAGAGAAAAATAAAAACATTTTACTAGAAGCCTAAAGTAGAACTGAATGCTTTGATATATCTGCCTTTGTTACTTGCTGTTACAAAGCTTGTATTTTTCTCAGTTAGAGGTGGAGAGGGCACCGAGGCATAAAAATGGAAGGAATTGGTCTTCCGTTGCAGGTTTAGGCCTCACGTGGCTGAAATGAACCTAAATCCCTGCTGTGGCAGGGCAAGCTTGAGACAGGTCCAAAGGTTCTCCACTGACAGGACCCTCAGTAGTCTACCCTAGATCATATAAAGCTGTCTGTGCTTACCTAAGAGTTGCAGCTGCCACTTAGGTACTTATTTGTACATAATTGAAATAGTGCTGTGAAGGAATTAAAAGACCATTCTCAAACCTGTGCTCATTCCATTCTGCAGCTTTCTTCAGCTGTAGATGAGAATCAGCCCTGTATCGTCTAAGTGTCTTCTACTCTTTTTGGCACTAACGACCTTTACCAGTTTCCTAAACTACTTTAGAAATAGGGTTGAGTTCACATTCAGATCTTTGAAATAGCCTTTCATCTCAGTGCTGCTTGTCCTATTTCAGTGTCACACTTACTGAGCATCTTCTTGAGCCAGAGCCTGGGATAAGTAGCTTTGAGAGTTGGGAAAGAAATATTAAATGTAGTTTCTCTCTTCAGGAGCTCTAAAAATCAACTAAGAGAAGTGAGAATACTATGTGAAACAGTACAAGGCAGTATAGAAAATTATAGGATTTTTAGAACAGAAGTCTCTTTTTGGAGGGTGAGGGGCGTGGCTGGCTGGTTGGTACAGGGATCTGAATCCTTAACCTTGGTGTTATAACACCATGCTCTAACCAACTGAGCTAACTGGCCAGCCCTAACATCTCTTAACGTAGACTTTTATTATCTTAACAGATGAGAAAATGGTGGCCAACAGAGGTTAAAAGTGGTCTATCCAAGTAGTGTACTGGTGCTTGATGGAATGCCAGAGTTGTGTTGCACTCTGTAACTGCTAGAGTAATTCATGAAAGGAAGAGACAGGTAAGAGCTGATGTCAGGGAAAGGTGTGCAACTGGTATGACTTGAAGTGGACCTTGTGAGGTGAACAGGACAGTATTAGGTGTACAGAAGGAAGGATATTTCAAGGGGAAGGTGGGGGGAAAGTTGCGCTTGTTGTGTTTGAGATAGGAAGGCTAGAATGAGGGTCTAGACTGTGAGATAGAAGAAAATAAGGTGTAATTGGGGCCAGATAAGAAAAACCCAGTAAGAGTTTGACCTGGTCCTTAAGAAGCCTCCGAAGCTTTTTAGCTGATTGTGAAAGTGTTCTGTATGTGTAACGGATTGCAAGGAGGCAAGGTTAGAGTCCCAAGCCTGGAAGGTTTCAGTAATCAGGTCATGAGTTAAGTGCTTGCATAGGTATTGGATACTAAAAATGTTGAAGGGGGTGGTTTGAGAGATGCTGAAAGGAAAAATCATGGGATTTCTGCCTGTCAGCTAGGAATATTTGAATACGTCTCCTGTGTAACAGAAAACTATGCCCATTGATTATGATTCTGGAAAGCCAAACCTTTGGTTGGTTACAGTTTTCATAACACTTATAAGTCTTGGATTTTAGTGTATGAATCTCATTTTGGGTGTTTGAATTATCTAACTTAAAAAATAAGAGGTAGGAGTGTTTTTCTTTTCTTCACTATTTAATGTCCTAGTATCTATATACTTTGTAAAAGCTTTTCTTTGCCTATTGATAAGAATTCTTATCAATCTTGTTGACTAAACCAGAATATTGCATTTAATCTTTAAGAATGAGAACAGTTTGTTGTTTTAGTTCTCTTACAGCAAGTAATTTGTTTGCCTTTTATTTTATTCATTTTGTCAGCTGAGTGCACTATTTCCAAATAGGTGCTGAGATTGAACTTTCAGTTCCTGTACGGGACTCTTTTGGGGGGATTGACTGAAGATCAGTCTTCCTTCTGTTTGGAGAAAGAAATGAGTGAGGAAATGCAGTGTTCCTTTGGGGTCTTTCAGGTTTCACCTCTAAGCCATATGGTTGAAGTCATCAAGAATAGCTACCATTCGGGGCTGGCCCGGTGGCGCAATGGATAGTGCGCCGCTTGGGAAGTGCTGTGGCGCTCCCGCCCGAGGGTTCGGATCCCAC